CCTGCTCCACCAGGGGCCTCTCCACAGGCCGCAGGGGAACTGCTGCTGCCTGCCTGGAGCACCTCCTGCCCTCCTGCTGCACTGAACTTGGGGGCTGCAGGGCTGGTTCTTACTCCTCGCTCTCCCAGCTGCTGTTGTGCAGCAGTTTTGTTGTTGTTGTTGTTTCTTTATTTTTTCCCCTTTCTTAAATCTGCTCTCACAGAGGGGCAAACAACATCACTTATTGGTTTGGCTTTGGGCAGTGGCAGGTCCCTTCAGAGCTGGCTGCAACTGGCCCTCATCTAACATGGGGCAGCTTCTGGAATCTTCTCACAGAGGCCACCACGTACACCCAGTACACAATCACACAGCACAACAGGCTGACATGCTTCAGAGCAAAAGACAACATAAAATGGCAGAATTCTTCTTTTGAACAGGTCAGCCCCGACTGCTCCTTCAAGCAGCTCCTGCTCGCTCCTCTCCAGCTGCCCGCTGGGCACTGCAGCCAATGCGCTGCTTCACGTGGTGCATCAAGCCAACAGGGAAACAACCATGTAAGTTTTAGTGCACTGCTATTTTAACAACTCTGGTAAAAAAGACAAGGTAGGAGACTCTAACCCCAGTTTATATTGTCATTCACAAACATCAGACCATGAGGTTTAACTCCTGTGCTGATGTAGGAGTAAGAGAATCAAGGAAAGAAAGGGAAAAAGGATGTCTCCATCTGTATACTGCCATAGGGAGGAATTTTTCTGTATTTTCTGCCACCAACTGGAAGTGTGCCTTTTTAATAGCACATAAAAATCATTTGCATGTGCTCAAAAAAGTGCCTATATAAAAGTACAGTGTTTTGGATCTTTAGAGTAGAGTTTGATATGACAATTTTATCCTAACTTATCAAGAACTAAAAATAAAAATGAAAATGTAAGAAGTGGAATGAATAAGAATATAAGTATATTCTTTCCAGAGGTGACTTTCAATCTAAAGCCAGCGTCATTTGTCTGGAAGCACACTTCACATAAATATGTGTCTCACAACATGTTAAGCCCTAAGGGAATGGTGAGGTGAAAAATGTGTTTTGTTTATTTTGTATGGTTTAAGACTAGAAACTTTACAATCTACAGCTATCCATGCATGAAACAATGAGAATACTCGGAAACAGAGTACTCAGAGAAACAGAGTATTGGCAGTATGAGGCACAAACCCAGCACAGACTTCAGCACTGGGCGAAGAGGGCAGCTACTTTTCCATGTAGAAGTAATCCCACAAAACTTGCTGGTAAGGTTTGTCTACAAGAAATTGCTCATATGAGTGTCTTGTAAATTCAAGATGAAATTCATTGTCAGTAGCAAATATAACTATATGACAACAAATGGAAGTTATCAGTAATAACGCACACTTTTGTTGATTGTTCCATGGGTGAGGATTTACTTTCCCAATCTGTGATATCATTAAAATAATATGAAAATATTCAGTTGGTATCCCCACCATATGGAATAATAGCAGAGGCAGGAAATGAGTTGTGTTTTCCTTTTCTGAGGCAAAAGTGAATCAGTGTTGTAGTCTAAGTTTACCATCCTTCATGGCTGCAATCGGTGTAGCTAGATATTTCCTCTTTCCAGACTACTGGCTAGGTTGGTGGTCTGGATTGACATTATAATGTCAATGAATGAGGAAAAAACAAAACAAAACAAAACACTTTAAAAGTGATCAGTGATGAAGAATTCATCAGGATGATCTGTGCCATGGAGACACTGAGGTCTTGATTTGAGGGGTTTCTAGCTTATCAACCTTGCAAGGAAAGAAAGCATACTAAAATATACATAAATGCTGCAACTCAAGGAATTATTGTACATAGACTTTCAAGTGGTAAATGTTCTTTATTGCAGATGTTATTTATTCTGTATCCCCTAGTACTTTTGTCTTTCAATAAGAAGCAGAGACACAAGTTAGCATGTTGATGTGGGATGAAATAGATGGAAGATATGAAAAAGTTACGTATAGGAAACTAAGCAGTTATCTTTAGTCTATTTGCCTGAGTAAAGCTAGAGACATCTGGGTTTGATCTTATATATGTACATTGCTTTAAAAACATCGAAGTAAATGCACACAAGTTGTTAAAGCTAATTATTTTTTATTTTTCACTATAATCAATAATCTTTCCCCTATGGTATTTGAAGAACTTCCCAAATGCCTGCCATTAGTTAAAAGTCCTAAGTAATGTGTGCCTTTCTACTGTCTATTTGGCTTCTGTTTTGTTTACATGCAGTTTTTTATTATGCCACCCATAGAAATCTGGCATACCCAAAGAACAAATAGCACAGGAAACTAAGTACATAACATCAGAGGAAAATATAAAACTGGGAGAGGTCATGGATATATCTGACACACACACACACACAAAAAAAAGATATTGAGCTCTGAATTCCAGTTCAGTGGGTGTTGCTTACCCAGCAATTACCTCTGACCCTTTGCATTGAATTTTCAGTATAAGAGCTGCCACCTTTCAGATAACCCATCCTCAGAATGGACTTCTGAGTAATCCTTCAATGCAAAAGCAAAGTATAATACAAGAAAAGTTAAGAATGTTTCAAAAAGCAAACAGAAAGACTTGGACTGAAGTGTGCCAAACAGGACAAGAAGCACACAGAAATGGAAAAAAAATAAAAAAATCTGTGTGCATTGAGACAGGGCTGCATGCCGGACTCAGAAAGCTGCAGATGTAGGTTTCAGAAAGTGCCAGGGACTTCTGGAGGCAATTGTAGTGTGTCAGCTAAATCTTCCCACATGAACACCTTTTCCCCAAGCCCTCATGATATTAAAACTCCCATCAGTTTCTATAGATGCTCCAACAGCAAGGAAAAAAAGATCAGCTGCTGGAGAAGTGAGAAATCTTAGTTCTCACTCTGTTCTCACCAAAATGATTCTGATTCAGGGTGCCAAACTGAATGGTACTGAGCACAGGCTTTTCACTAACCCCAGAGAAACAGTGAAGTGTGCCTTCAGAAAGAATAAAAGTGGCAAAGCATTTATATAAATGGGCCCAAGACACCACGATAAAGCCCTGCTTTGGCTGGAATCAACAGAGATGGTGCCACTGGCTGCCCTTTGGATAGCGCTCAGCTACAAGGACAAGGGTGTTCAATCTACCTGTTGACATAAAGGCTCATTTGCAATTATAGTGGCCTTCAAGGGAGTACTCACAGAAATAAGGCATCTCAAATAGTATTAGTTAATGTAAGTCAAAACCAGTGGGTACTGAAGCCCCCTATAAACCCACAACCTAGACCTATTTGAACCAAGTGGGGTCTTTAATTGCAACAGGGTTCTCCATGGCTTCCAACTAGCAAAGAGGAAAGTATGTAGCAGAAAATGGTATTTCCATCTTGGAGTCACTGCATTAAAATATTCATTAATGGGCAAATAACAGAAACTAAGGTGAACTAAAGGAGCATACATTGGTAGATATACATGGTAAATGCCTCAGGAGTGCTACAAGCATAGAAACAGTGCAGTTGCTGAGTGACCTGAGACAAGTGCACTTGGGGACTTCACGTACAGGTCATTATTCTACCTGCGCAATGGCATTGTTAAGTGAATACAGGAATAGAACATAGGGTAAAAGTACTTAATGTTTTTAGTGTATACAGCCGTTTTGTGTAATAAGTATTTCATTGTGTTTGTATCATGGTGTATCCGCTGGTTATTTCTCTGTAGTGATCTATAATTCTGCTCAAACCTGTGTATGTTCCATATGGTGACTGCAGTCAGAAGCAGGTTCTTTACAGCTCCTTAATCAACTTTAACTTTTGGTTTTGTTTCCTATATAACGGTCATAAAATAAATATCAACTCCATGGTCACTCATATGTAATACCCTTGGCACCCTTTGGTGTGTACTACTACAGAGAAAAGGAAACAGGTTTTTAACTTCTTAAGCACTCAGCCATCACCACCATATGAAAGGGCAAACAATGGTTAAGTATGAAGGAAGAGTAAAAATGAAAAAACAAGCTTGTGGAGACAGAAGTCAATCTTGCAAAGCAATGAATTCACTTCAAAAAGGGGAGAACATATAAAGTACTGCATGGTTGGAAGTAGTGTTAAAATAACAGCATGAGCAAGGGCATAGGAAAGGAACAACAAAACAAACCAATTAAACTCAGTATTTTATATTTTGACCTTCCTTTAATCCAGTAACATGCCAATCAGCAACATTGTTTTTAAAAGACTCAGGAAAACTTTAAGATCTGACATGCATTGATAAGCAGAAATCCTTTAAAGTAAGCCTGAGCTAACAGTTTAAAGCTAAATAATAGAAGGGTCCAAATTAAAATTCTGGAAAGGTTGTTAGGTTAGGTCAAGGAGTTTACTAGCACCTGGAAAATCTGTGCTGCTTTCAGATATTTGTTACAACACAAGAAATATGACCATAACTTGTGAGGTGGAACTCTCCTGAAAGGAGAAGAAGCAGCCTCCTAGTCCCTGCTCTGCAAGATTTCAGATTTGAATCCAAACTTTTGACAGACTAGCTTAATTGCTGCCTCTGACTGCATCTAGGCACAGTTGGGTATCAGGGATAGCTTCTAGGTCTGTGAAACCCTTTTCAGCAGGCACACCCTGCCTCAGACCCCAACTGCAAATAAAATAAGAGATACTTCATTATAAATGGAAAGTCAAAGCAAAGACACAATTACAAGAGCTACTCTTTCTTAGTCCTCTCAGTGGCAATATCAGGCTTCATTACAGCAACATCATAATCTTTGTTAAATAGAAACAAGTAAAGGGGAATTACTGTATTATAAATAAGGCTACCACATCTTAAAAAGCAAAACAGCCCCACCGCCTCATAAATTCCTCACTTTCCATTAACAGAGAAATAAGAAAACAAGAAGCCAATTCCCCCCCTAGATTGTCCTTTTAAGAATTTTAACTCCCGTGCTCCACCCACCATCACAGGTGAAGGGCATATGGTCTAAAATCACGATGCAGGTGGGGTGATATATATAGTGCATCTGGGACAGATAAGAAAAAGATAATGCTAATTCCTGAGGATGGGGTAGCAACAGAAGGAATGGAGAAGCTCCACTATGAAGTGATTATAGAGGCTATATGTAAAGGTACATTTCTTTTACCTTAGTAAGAAAGTTAAGAAAAATAAAGCTAAAATAGAATAATAATTTTTTTCTCCTCCTCTTTATCATAGCAGTAGGTTTTATAAGCTGAAAAAAGTATCTTTTATTTCTTGGAGTTTTATCATTTTCAATTCTTTAGTGAAAGTGAAATCTATTTTATATACTGCAGATTTCTCTTGTGACTGCTTTTGAGGAAAAATAAAGAAGAAATAAGGAATAGCAATAGTAAAAGCAAGGTAAGGCAACTTATATAGCTCCCTAAATTTTCGTATTGATTTGTATTAAAAGGTGAATATAGCCTGATACAGGACCTGAAGGTTGTTGTGTAGATGCATTCAATATTTGTTTAACCTTCCATAACAGTTCTTAGGCTATGCAATTATTTTTAAGTCTGTAGCTAAAATGTAAGAAGCTAAATTGGGGATTTTGTTGATGTAGAGAGGCTGTACTATTTCTTCATTTTTCTATTACTTATTCTAGTCTGTCTATTGATACTATGATATTAAGTGGAAAGAAAAGCTTCTGTAAACCAGAATGTAGACTCAAAGAAATGCATAAGAACAAAGCCCTTACTGTATATGTAAACATGAGTTTTGTGCATAAACAGTACTTTTCCTCTGTTGTGAAACATGCATAGAATAAAGAAATAATTGTGATAAAAGGCTACTCTATTAAGGCCATATTTTTGCAATGAAGTATTTGCATAATGTAAACATGCCAGAAATTCAGTAGAGTTCAAATGTAGTATGATCATGAACAGAGTAATTAAATTACAATTTAAAATATGTGAACCATCTGCACTGCAGTGTGGGTCTTAGTACTAAAACTAAATCTACTAAAGCTCTGCCTATTTTTCAGTCACTTCAACACTTGCTATTAGTAGAGCATTCCCCTTGGCCTTGTTGAACTCTTACTAGGGTGTTACACTTGTGTGGCTCCATAATTGCTTCAAAGGCCTTACAAAAGTGGGTTCTAATGCATTTTATCCTAGGTAGGCATTCTCTAAGTTCATTAAAAGAATGTGAAACACAGAGCTAGGTAAATGTGTAGGAGCATTTCAAATGGAGAATTTAATGCAGGCTGGAGGTTATTCAAAGCAAACACATTTTCCTACTGCTTTTATTTTCATGCTTGTAACAAATATATGAAAGTGTAGCAGCTGAACTTAGTATCTAGGAGATGTCTCTAGTACTTCAACTTTAAATGTCTTTTGACCTTGAGAGAAAGGCATAGGAAATACACCAGGAAAAGACAGCTGACTGTCTAATCCAACAGATGATTTCATCTCATCTGCTGTGGTTTGCTTAAACAGAAGAAATAGTAATTCTCTTCCCTATTAAAACCAACATACAGCAGCACTTCTTTTTGTGCGGACTTCAAGACTAAAAACCCTTGTGAAGACCAGTGACATTAGGAGTGGCTGTTGGGAGTTTGTTGTGGATGCTGTTGTGGACCCCTCCTCCCAGTGGCTGTTTATCAGATGTGAACAGGAAAGATTATGTGCCCATGAAAGATCATGTGCCATCTGTCCACAGCCTTATGGAGAGGCTTCTGGGTTTTGCTTGGTGCAAGGATGGAGGACTGAGACTTAATGTAATGGGGGGTCCAGTAGCATGTTGCCAGGCAATGCTAAAGGTAGCCTCCTGCTACCATTTGATTCTGCTGTAGTTTGCACAGCTGATGGCTTTCAGCAGAATTTAAGCTAATTTGAGGAGACGGGGGTAGAGGGGAGGTGAACCAAAGGATCATCAGGGGCTCTAGTGGAAAGGGAGATTGTACTAAGTGGGAGCACTCTCTGAAAGGAATAATCAAGAAGCCGTAACTGGGCGAAAAATGATTTATTTTCTAAGAAAACAGGAGAAAAAGTAGAAATAATTTAAACATTACGAGCTATGCTGTGCAAATCTTGTTAAGCAAGAAAAGCAGACTAAATTGGTACTTAGCAGGATAGGTTGATGCAATTTCTCTGTTGCATTTCCCTTTAAAAGTGATTGTAGGAAGATTTCAGCATCTTTACTGACCAAGATAAAGGCAGGGAAACTCTTGATTGTTTTGTATTGTATGTGGTTTGGAGGTGTGAGCTTCCTGGAGAAATAATGTTTCTTCCTGGACTGTAATGAGGAAATAAAAAACAAACATGAACTATGTGTTTATCTTAGCTCTCAGATTCCTGAAAAACTGAGTACATTTAGAATTGAATTTGCCACTGCATGCTTTTGTAGAATTAAGTAAGTGGTAATGTAGGAAGGTAGGAGGAGGGGGGTGAGGATGGATGTTTTGTGTTCTAGGAAAAAGCTGTTGCAAGGCTAAAATGAAAAAGCAAGAATAAAGAGTTGGCTTCACTTGGGTAACTGATGCCAGCTTAGTTAAAAAACAAAAAAGGCAGTCATAACTAGAGAACATTTCACAGTGGAGCACTACAGGAAACTCAGCTACATTGCACAGGAGTGAGAATTTTTAGTTCAATATCACTTAGAAAAAACTTACTGCTAGTAATCTTTTTAACATTACAGAACAGCTTGAATTTGTTAAATTTAAAGGTATGAGGATATAATAATTTTCAGTTACTCCCATCCAAATGACAGCAAAGTACTCAAAGATCCCTGTCATGTCCATCAGGAGTCTTCTTCCTTCTGTCTCTTCCCAAAAGGGAGAAAGGAAAGATTTTACAATCTTCTTATAGAAATCCATAAAGCTAAATATTTCTAAAAAGATAATGAAGACAACGGAAGCTGGTACAGAACTTAGCTACTGGACCAAGTATGTGTCTTATGTAGTAGAGTTACAGGGAAGTCCTAAGGAAACAAGTGATTGAACACCAGAGCTGTGATGGGAATCCTATGTGGCTGGTTCCCCTTCAGCTATGGACATTGCATCTGAATCGAAACTTGATGTCCATTCAAAACCTCTGCAAAAGATAAGTGATACAATAGCCAGCTTTTTTCCACAAAGTTTTGAGTATACTGAGTATAATTAGTCACAACCAGAATCTTACTGAATGAGGAAGTTGCTATAAAATATTTCAGATCTCCAAAATGCTGTAACAGTAATGAATTTCTAGTCTAGCTCCTGCAGCATGGGGACTAGGTAATTCCACTATGACTCTGACCCATTGTCTGTGTTAGTTGAGGGCTGTGAACTTCTGTGCAACAGATAGCAACACTGATCCTTAAGCTGAGGATGTACCTGAAGAATATTTTTGGAGTGGCTTTGTAATCCACATACTTTCATTACTTTCATTACAGAGAAAGTGTAAAGTACAGTTGTACTGAGAAGCCCAGGTAGATAACTTCTTATAGTTAAAATAACAAATTACATAGACATAAATTGTGGAAAGCAATATTAGTTATTGCTTCCCATTTCTGGAATAGTGTGTTGGCAGGAGGGTGTATGGTTTGGGTAGTTTATTTTTCTTAACTGCACTTAGTGATTTAAAAATTTATCCTTTTGTATGCATTTAGATATATTTGTCTCTAAATTGTCTCTTTTTAATAAATATTTCCTAGGACTGGGAGTATAGATGGAGTCCTGTTTATGTTTGTTTTTTTTTTTTTGCTACAGCAATGCTAAATCTGCATATTATTCATTATTAGATGTGTTATAGGCTGCTTATTATTAACCTGAGTGTTATTTGAAGATACATTGAAATGACTTTTCTAAATCCTCCTTACTATTATATATGAATCAGGAAACTCAATGCTGTTCTTCAGTGTGAAATACAGAGATTGACCAATTTTAATACAATATAGTGTTTGCCTCAAACATATTTCTGTAGCTCACTGGGATTTAGGCATGATTTGCATGCCTAATAAATAATGCGTATTCCTACTAATTTCAGTTGATGAAACCCCAAAACAAAGATGAACTCCTGAATGACTGTTGGCAGATAGATATTTAATAATAAAAATAATAATAAAATCTTATCCTAGTTAAAGTCTACTTAGATATCTAAACAAGATCCCTAAATGCTGTACTTCTTATTCCTTTTGACAGTTCTTAAGCAAAAGTAGAAAGGCAATATATTTTTACTTGAGTAAATTCTGAAATTATCACAGCATGTTTTCCTGTGTTGAATACTCAGCATAATATTAAATCATGCAATTATGTCATTATCAGTTTGGTAGGAAAAAAAAATGAAGGGGAAGGGAAGAGAACTCATGTGACCAGTTTATGAACTCAATTCAAGCCATGAGCTTTTTTCCCTCTGGTATATGACCCTCCAAAGAACACAAGGAACAGACAAATGTAAATACTTAGCCTCCTGTGCATGTCTAAAAGCATTTCCTGGATTCTGGGTATGTCTATATATGTATATTTGTCATGTCTTCCTGCAGAGCCCAATCAGAGCTGGAACATTCAGTTGTAATGCAGTGCTCTGAGACCAGTTTTTGACCAAGGCTGTTATTGCACCTGCATGGGGAGGCTGAGACATCAAAGGCAACACATGAAAGGGAGAAAAACAGTAAATTTAGGGATTTGATTATTTGTGTAAATCATCATAGATACAGCATTTCTCTTTGATGTAGCCAGCACAGCAAAGGGTTGGGAGGTCACACTTAAATTGTAAACTGCTTCTCGGCTCCTCCATGATCCTCCTCCAAAGCAAGATTTCTGTGCAATATAGTCCTATTCCACTTAATTTCCACCCCCCACTTCCCCTTTTCATAGTTTTCCTATGAAGTGGTTACTTATTACTTGTGGAACTGCTGGTGGGATCGGTACCAAAAGATGTTGATGCAAAACCCAGTCTCCCTCTTGGTTAATGAAGTCTTCAAGCTAGTTCTTTGAATATGGCTTATAAGAAGGCATTTCAATAAAGCTGAAATTTGATTTCCAAAGAAACTGGAGCCAATCTAGAAGCAATGCAATGGACATTTTTGGCTCTTGCAAAACCAGGCTTCTGCTAGAGACAGTGAGCCGAGAAAGAGGTGCACTCACTTGTGCTCTGATTGAACCTGAGAGATGCAAATAGGGCTCCTGTCTTTGCTGAGGTAGCCTAATTCTTAATGCTACTGATGTTCCTCTGATCAATAATCTCACACATACTAGGTTAAGAATGGTTTTAATCAGTAAATTATACAATAAATTTGCTAGTGTTCAAAAACTTAAATGAAATTAATTTGTTATTCTAATCATAATTGACTAAGATAGTTTTAGCTTGTTTGCTTAAGCTTGTTGTCTGGGATACTGTTATCAGAGTCCTCCCAAAGAGAAGGATGTTTGGTACAAAGATCTC